GGAAGCAAATCATGACAGCAGCCCTGGCCATATAAGGAGTTGTTGTGCACAGAGAGCGCTCACCCACGGGGGGTGGAAGGCTGGAACCAGCGCCATCTTGTAGGCGCGGTCCTTCGCAGCTCTCCACACTTGGTGACCCTGCCTCACTGCTGGGGACTGATCCACCTCAGGCCTCCATTTCACGTTAGTGTGACTCCCAAGCTTGGGAAAGTTATTTCTGGTACCCGGGTTTGAACTCAGGATCTTTGTGTTAATCCACAACCTTTTACAATTTTAAGATGGTCTCACAGATCGCTAAATTACCTAAGCTGGGCTCAAACCCGTCATCTTGCTGTCTCAGCCTTTTCAAATGCTAGGGTTACAGCACATACCACCGTGCCCAGCTTATGTTAACTTTCCCAGTGCTGGTTTCCCCGTGAATTATGTGCAAGACAAGCTGCTTATCTTAGTTCAAATGTTTGCTTTTCCTTTGAAATTTTGAGATAGGGTCTCACTAAACTGCCAAGGTTGTGTTCAAACTTGGAATCCTCCTGTCTCAGCCTTCTGAGTAGCTGGGATTACAAGCCTGAGCCACTAAATCTAGCTAAATGCTTGTTCTCTTTATTTCATCATCGGATGTTAGAAGCACATAACTCCATGCACTTCATGATTTGTTAGTGACATGCCTGGCGGAGCTGCCTGGGAGGCAGCAGGAGGGTGGCTGAATTTGAGGCCGGCCTGGGCTTCATAGGGAGACCCTACCTAAACTACTTAGTTTAAGGTAGTTTGAGGCCAGCCTCAGGAGAAAGAGAATTGAGAACGTAGAAGGAAATGATGATGAGGGATAGGAGGGACCGTGAGGGCCTGCAGGGTATCTTTTCTGTACTGTCAGCGCTTCGCGGGTGAAGATGTCATAGCAGATCAGTTATCTCCATCCTTGACTAAATCTTAAGGACTTTCAGGGACTAGGTGTGATAATGAACTCCCGTGGAATGCACAAGGCCCTGTGTTTAATCCTGGGCTCTGCCGAAACCTAGAAGGTTTCGGATGTGCTTCCAGCCTGGCTGCAAACGGGACGGAGGCTACGCCGAGTGCGCAGGCGCGGGGCTGCAGGGGCGGGGCCCACACTCCGCAGGCCTCTGCCGCTTGGGTGTTTCCCCTGCAGGAAGGTGCACAGGCAGTGCTGGTAGATCTGTGGCCTTCGTCCTCCTGCAGCAGCACCTGTCCCAAGGATCAGCGGTGCTGGTGACGTCGCCAGGCTGCTTGTACTCGGGACCTCCACGGATGCCTTTACTCGTTTTTGTGGCCCTGCCATGCTCAACGGCGGAAAAGCAAGTGACAAAAGGACAGGTTGTGAGCACGGCCACTGGAATCGTGGCGCAGTGTGTTAAGAGTGTTGTCCATCAGGGAGGCTATGAATTTAGTCACCTTACAGAAATCTTAGCCTTTTGCATTTTGAAGTTCTTTTCTAGTGTAAAATGTTCATCTCAGGATTATTATTTCAGTACTGATGGCAAAAACAAACAAAAAACAACCAAAAAACAAAACAAAACAAAAACCCCCAGGGGCTTTGCTCTGAACCAGTTTCAGCCCTTTTAATTATTATTATTATTATTATTGAAACTGAAGGTTGAACGCAGGGCCTTCGTACCGAGCCATGTAGCCAGCCACTTACTGACACCCGGGATTGAACCCAAGCCCTCTGCACTGATCTACATCTCTATCGCCACACCTTGCGCACATTTTGAGACAGGGATTGCAGGTGGCGTGCGCGCCACCGTGCCTGGCTCCCAGCCATTTCTTCAACCAATTTTATTTTATTTTATTTATTATTTTTTTCAAAGTTTTATTGATAAACAGATAGCAATGAGACAGTTTCAAATCAAATCGGAAGTACAGTTTCAACAAATAATACACTGCATATATTCTTCTTAGTGGTTAATTGCTGTACAAGATGCGGACTTGTGATCCTATTTACAAACACCATTAGAACAAATCATTCTATTCATTAAGAGAATGCAACTATATATCTATCCCAACCACTTTGAATACACAGATACAAAATGGACATTCATAGGTATACCCCATTTTTTCTAAGTTCCGTTATTGAATATTATATGTGTGTAAACTCAGCAAAATATTCTAAAAGAGTCCAGTAGCCCATAATAGCATTGGGTCTTCTGTTTAACTGGCAATGTCAGAAATTATTGACCTGAGTCCCCCACAGCTCAACTTAACAGCATGGCTTTATTTCTTATATTTCGTCTTCATACTTTTCTACTGGATGGTTAAGACCAAGTTAAAGCAGGACCTATGCAACAAGAGTTGTAGCTTTTTGGTCTGAGAAGGTCAGTGAAATGCCCTCAGGATTTATCCTGAGATCCTGTACCTCAGATTGTAGAACCTTTATCAGTGCAGCCATGTGGATGAGTCACGGCCATTGCTTGGCCAATGTGCTCTCTGTGAAAGCCTGAGAGAGTGTCTTCTCCCCATGTGACTCTCCTTAGGCACACTCTACGTCATCGATCACTTTCCTCTTTGGCCCCATAATCTTCTTGATCAGAAAATTAGGGACACTACCGAGGTACATGACGTTACAGTACAAGTTCTCATATGTCCTGAGTCTTAATTGATCTTAGAAGGCTAGGGCCAAAATGTTGGCTTTCCTTGTATCCCTCCTTTTTCTCTAATTTTGGTCTGCAAACTTAGGTTGTTAACCATGCAGAAGAAAAACTTATTGTTATTATCAAACGATTTAGGCTATCAAGCTTAACCTCACTATCTCACTGCATTTCAAACATCTTAGGCATAATAAGGAACAGGTATCTTTCATCAAGTATTGATATGTTGAACTTTAAGTCCCTATATAATATGATAAAAAACATTTAAAAATTAGATTATATTTTAAAAATAGGATAAAGAATTCTATGCTTCTTATGTTTGCACATAAGTCCAAAAATCTCACCATATACAACCTTGAAGCAGGACAGTCCCACAATATTCCTTTTCCTGTCTCTTGCTTTCATTCACCACCCCCTTCTTCTTGATCAACCAATTTTAAATGCCAGTTTTTCTTCTGAGCTCTTAAATGAAATGTGGTGGGACTAGGGTGCAGTTCGTGGGTAGAATGCTTGCTTAACTTAAAGCCCTGGGTTCCAGCCCCAGCACTATGGGAGGCTGGGGGTGGGGGTTGGGGGGTACAGAACACCCAGCCTGGCTGAGACAGCTTGTAAGTGTGGGTGGGCTGAGTCGCGAGACGCGCAGCCGCGCTGTCACTCAGGGAGAAGGGGCGGGGCCATAATAACTATCCAATCAACAGCGCCCCCGGAAAGGGGTGGGCAGTCGCTACGCAACGCCTGGTAGACTTCGCTTCTTCTTCCGGTGGCGCAGTCGTTCCGTTTCTCCGGTCTTACGCTGTCCCTGGGCTGTTTGCCGCAGTCCTTGTCCTTGTGTAATCTGCAGTGATCGTGGGAGCCATAGGGAGGACGCCAGGACACCTCAGGAGCCTGAAATGGTGAGTGCAGGGGAATCGGGGGCGCAGGGCCTTGGTGGAGGTGGGGAAGTGGCCGCGCGCCAGCTTTGGAGTCACCTCTCCGTCCTGCGTCCCCTCCGGACGCGGGGTCGGCCCTGGGCCGGCAGCAGGGGCCGCGGGGGCGGAGGAAGGGACGCGGGGGACAGACCCGATGTGGGGTTCGTGCGCAGCAGTAGCTGGGGCAGCTTACCTTCACCAGCTGGCAGCATTGAGATCAACTTAATTTTTTTTTTTTTCTTTTCTTTTTTTTTTGCGGTACCGGGGATTGAACTCAACGACCCTACGCTTGCCAGGCAAGCACTTAATCTACTGAGCTATCTCTGTCTCCCCGGCCCTTAATTTCTGATTGATTGCGTCACTAGAGATGGAACCTAGGGCCTTTATGCTGAGCAACATCCGCAGACCCTCCCCTAGTTCCTGCATATTTTATTTTGCGACTGGATCTTGCCAAGTCATTGATTTGTCCAGGCTGGGCTCGAACTTGTGATCCTCCTACCTCAGCCCCCCAGAATGCTTGGATCAGAGGCCTGCGCTGTAGCGCTAGGCTTTTTATATTTATATTTATATTTTTAATTAATTTTAGTGAGAAATAAATAGCAATGAGATAGTTTCAAAACCGATTAATAGGACAGTTTCAATAATTAATACATTGCATATTGTTGTCTTTGTAGTGGTTATTCATAGTACAAGATGCAGACATGATATCCTGTCCAAACACTCTTAGTACAAATCTTTCTTCTCGTTGAATTAAAAGAAAATAGCTGTATATCTATCCTAACTATTTTGTATATATAGATACAAAATGGTCCTTCATTTGTATGCCCTTTTTTGTTTTTTTACATTTTTAAACGCAGGAAGTATTTAAATTAATTTCACAGGGCACTGGATAGTTGTACTTAAAACATTTAACTATTTAGGTTTGTTAGTATTTTATGTTAGAGGAAAGCAGAAAATCACCACTTTGAACGGTCTTCTCCTTGGCAAGCACAAGAGCCTGAGTTCAGTCCCCCGTTGGGGGGATTAGGGGTGGGGAAGCATCCCAAGAGAGGCTTTCAGATTGAAGGATTGAAGCTCTTCGGGGAACTTGCCTGAGGGCTGTGTCTGCCCTGCACAGCTCCATGTCTGCGCCCTCCTGACCCTGGTGGGTCACCGCGCAAGGATTTATTCCCAGAGTCTGTTTTTCAGTAAATGTAAGTAGTACTTAATCAGTACAGTTTTGTTTTGAGGTAGGATCTCACTACCTATCTCAGGTGGCCCTGTCCTGCCTCACCCTTCTGGGTCCTGAAAGACAAATATAAAATGTTTCCCCAGAGTCAAGAAGGAGGTGAATTTCGGGGAAAAAACAAGTAGTCCTGGCTTCCATTTGGAGGATTGTACTGAACTATTGCCCCTGCTCTTAATTTTTTTTTTCCCCCCTAGAACCGGGGATTGAACTCAGGCCCTTGCACTTGCCAGGCAAGTGCTTATTCCACTGAGCTATCTCCCTGGTCCATGCTCTTAAATTTTTAAAAACTCATTTATTTTGCTTTTTTGAGACGGGGTCTCGCTTTGTAGCTCAGGGTGGCCTCAAACATTGGATGATCCTTCTGCCTCAGCCTCCGGAGGGCTGGGATGACAGCTGTGTGCAACTGTTACCAGTTTAGTTTTCATTTTGAAAGGTCTGCCTAAACTGCCCCGGCTGGCCTTGAGCTTGTTATCTTCATGCCTCAGTCTCTTTTAAGGGCCTTTTTTTTCTTTCTAATTATTATATTTTTTGTGTGTGGGTAGAGGTAGGACGGAATCCAGGGCCTCCAAGGGCTCTAACATTGAGCTGTACCCCCAGCCCACATTCATAGCTTAGAAAATCTGCAGATGGTTTTCTTTCGTTGGGCATGTATACAAGGGTCTCAGATCTTTTGTTTTACATGATTTTAAATAGATCCAGGGATTTAAATAATTCCAGGGATCAGACATGGAAAAAATCCTCAGTGTTCTGATTTTTTTTTTATTGGTATATTTGAGATGTACATAATGATAATACTCGTCATGGGATTTTGTGCCCATGTATGTTACACCATGCTTTCTCTCCCGTTTGCCTCCCATTCCACTCCTCTTCCCCTCCTTATTTATAAAAACTTTGTTTCCTTTTTTCCCTAGTATTCTCTTCTTTTTTTTGTCCCTTTGTATCTTCCACCTCCCTTGTTCTCCTTCTCATTTGAACATTTTCTTCCCAATATCTGTTGTATACTGTGGTCCTTATTTACACTTTGGTTTCGGACACCAGAGAAACAACACTGTATTTACACACGTGTCTGACTTATTTCACTTAAAGAGTGGTGGTCTTGGGCCAGGGAGGTAGCTCCGGGGCTTCAGCGCCTGCCTGGCAGATGCAAGGTCCTGAGTTCAGTGCCTGGTACCAAAAAAAAAAGAAAAAAGAAAAAAAAAAACAACTGTGTTCTTGAGCATCCATGTAGCTAGAAATGCTTCGAGCTTATTCTATTTCATAGTGAACTTTAAAAATTAAGTTTATTGGTACCATTATGTACACATTTTGGTCACACTCATCACAGAGAGTTTGGCCCTGTGCACCACGTGCCATGATTCTGTCTCCATCCCCCTCTCCTCCCCTCCCTTCAACCCCTTTTACTTACAGAAGCTTTGGCTCCCCTTTATCTTTCTTTTCTCATTTTTTCTTTTCCTGTCCTTCCTTTCCCTCTTCTCCCACCCTAGTTCCCCCTTTGAACAATTTCTTCCTATTTTACAATATCTATTACACATTTTGGTCCTTATTTACACCTTCAGGTTCTCACACCAGCCAAACACCACTATATTTACACATGTGTATGTGGTATATTTCACTTAAGAGTGTGGTCTCAAGCTGCACCCATTTAGCTGTAAATGGCTCCGGTGTATCTCGATGGCTGAATGGTACTCCATTATATTAAAAAAAAAGCGTATCTTTTTTATGAATTGCTTGGTTGATGGGCACTTGGGTTGTTCCAAGATTTAAGGATTCCAAACTGTACTGCCAGAAACATTGGAGTGCATATATCACTATGCCATGACACTCTTAACTCTTTTTTTTATTTTTTATTTTTTGTGGAACTGGGGATTTAACTCAGGTCCTTGCGCTTGCCAGGAAAGTGCTTATTCTACTGAGCTATGTCCCCTGCCCCTAATTCATTTTTTAAAAAAATTAATTATTTTTTATGGGGCTGGTGAGATGGCTCAGTGGTCTAAAGCACCTATTTAGAACAAGCTTAGCAAAGCACAGGGACCGCGGTTCAATCCCCCAGCACCACATGCCAGCCAGCCCCGCCCCCTGGTGGGCTGAGCTGGCCACA